CCCCGTCCACTCTAAATCAGTGTTTCTTCTTGTTCCTACAGTGTGCTGTTTGAATGCTGTCTGTGCAGAGTTTGACACTAGAAGGATGTTTTCACATTCATTTGCTGAAAGTGGAAAGTTTCTCTGCGCTCACTGAATATACAAATGTGATGTGTAGAAACTTGAGAATGGATTTACAGTAAAGAAGGAGACATCTTGTGTCCAGCAGGAAAACTTTATAAATAAGTAAAATTAGCATATGTATAGATTATGGAATTTTTAAGGATGTAGAAAGAGTATAAAAAACTTATCAGACACACATTATTGTTCCAGCAGACTGTTTTTATTATGTCGTAATACATGTCTGGAGGGACTTTTTAACATATCTTGTTGGAAAGTCACAGAGTTCAGTTAAAAGGATGTCCTGAACACATGTTTTGATCCTGATCAGTCTTTTGTTATTGAGTGTGTGCCAGAAAAATCCAGTCCAATTTAATTTATTCCTTCATATCACAGCTGTGCAGCACACCAATGCCACAGAAACATCCTTTAAGAAACAGTAGAAAGAGGAAAGCAAAACAGTATAACAACAAATGTATCAAATGACAATGTGAAAGGAGTTGCTCGTAGTGATGAATGTACACAAAATTATCAGCTACACAATTACATCTCTTAATAGCTTCTCTTCTGTTCTCTGTGTTCGTCCACAGGTCGACGTTTTCGAGTCTTGTCCTGGTGGTCACCGTCATCACCACACTGTCGTCCTTTGTCAAACCTACAGCCAACGCCTACGCTTTAAACTGCTTCGGCCTCCACCTGCTTTACGTTCTGGGTGTCGAGATGAGATGGTATGAAAACTCTGGTGCCCTTTGGGGGAAATCTGTAACTGTTTTATGGTGCAGTTCTGAGTTGTTATTACAACTAGTTTTGTTTATTTTCTCAGCTGCACTGACCAGAAGGTTCTGCGACTTGCCAAGCTGTCGGTGGCTCTGTGGGTGCTCGCCATCTCCTGCTGGATTAGTGACCGTTTTGGCTGCAGCTTCTGGCAGAGGCTAAACTTCTGCTACCTGCACGGTATCTGGTAAGTCCTGGTTTACTTGTGTCCCTTTCCTTTCCTTTCTAGTCCTGTCCTTACTGTACCTTTCCTTTCCTTTAATTTCTTTCTCTTTATTTTCCAACTTGCAGTTGTATACTACTGATATATTCAGTAAAAAACCTAATGCCACCTGAATTACAGTTTTAATCAACATAACAAGGAAACTTTTTTACTGAACACATCTGCCAAACGTTTACTGGCAATATATTTTTTTAGAGTTTTTCTCTAAAATATCCACACTTATGCAACACAATATTTGCTCATAGATACTAAAGGAACTGTTTTCCACTGCAGTTAGGGTAAGATCTTTTTTTGTTTAATTTAGAAAAAGTCAATATTGACTTGAAGCACGTTAACGGGTGTGTTAACTGTATTGACATGTAATTAAAGCCAGAATCTTTGCCAAACCCAAACTTAACCACACACAGGACGATGTCTGATCTCAGATGTCATAGACTTTCACCCCAAACACCTCTCTACAACTTTTGTACAATCCAAGAACTTTATATTCAAACACCATATTAATAATACATACATGTAATTTCTTAGAGACAGGGTTGTTGGTTTTTTTTCAAGGACATGCTCATGTGTATTGATCTTTATCATTATATGTATCCTCCAGGCACATTCTGATTGTGATAGCTGTGGCCTATGGCAGCACCCTGATAGCTTACCTGGACGCCAACTACGAGATACCGTACTCGCTGCCCGGCCTGCAGTACTGGCCTTGTGATAAATGGGCTGTTGGATTACCTCACATCGTCCTGAAGGGCACTACCAAAACACTGAAACGGTGCTAACAGAGTTAAAGGTCTGCTTTAACTTTGGCAAAACATTTCACTCCTGTTAGTACAACCTCACCACAAAAATGACCTGCTATCTCTCCCGAACTGATTGACGTGTCTTTTAAGACTACACAACGACTAAATCTAAGTTACGATAGTTTTCAGATACTGTAAAAGGAGTGTTTACACCATGGATGGATTACTGAACCGGCGTAGTAGACATAGGCGTTCAGGCCCAAATGCTCAGGATGCCTGTAAGGGTCAGAGCTGGAGGGCAGCTGATGGTGAACCTCTGTGGAAATGTGTGTATTTATACAAGATATAAATAGGCACCCTGGATGAATGAGGAAATAAGAGTGTAAATGTGTGAGTTTTTCTTTATGTGTGCTGTGAATTTATTTTCAATATATGAATGCACATTTTGATTCTGTACACGGTGGAATATATTGATATATTGATTTTCTAAGAAACAATAATTACTGTCAGTCTTCAGTGTGACAGTTTTTTTTGAATGAAGCACTATGGTGAAATGTGTTTACATGGTGTTTTAACATCAACATGTGGTAGTTGCACAGTCATACAGGGGCACGTTTGAGCTGTGTAACCTGAAGTGAGTTTTGTTAAATTTTGAAAGTAAAATTGTAATTATCTGTGTAGTGATGTGTTAGATTTAAAGCTTTATTGTTATTTTATTCTGAGGATATTTATAACATTTCAGTTTCACATATCTATCAATATCAGATCATTCCCAGGTCAACTTCTCAGGGAAAAGTCACACTCAGGACCTTGGAAATATGACTCTGAAGGGCATTTGTATGGCTGACCACAACAATCACATGCAAATCTTTTTCTTTTGTACGACTGATTCATCACTGGACTGTTAAAAGCCTTTCTGTTAAAACAAGCTCCTGATTTTGGTGATGTTTTCAGAATATTCAGGTACATCGTGCCTCCATTCACATGTCCTTTCCTGAAAGATACAATAGATACAACAATGGATGTTTTACAAAAAAGAAATGCACACAGGCACTCTCTGCACTTCAGTGTTAATAGTATAATAGTGACCTCCTGTGGGTGATGAGATATCCAAAAGTAACCTGTGCTTCTAGAATATCTTTGATTATTAGATGGTGGTAGCCAGATGATAAACTAAGAGAAAAGTAAGAAATAAAACATGTGTTGGCACTAATTTCAAATGGCTTGATGTTAAAGTTAATTATCTGTAACTTTTCAGTATCCTGATTAATTCAAGACTGAAATATCTCAACAACTATCGGCTTAATTGCCATGAAGTTTCATTCAGACATTCATTTTTTTAAGCGGTTACTAGCCAAACAGGTTGGAAACCGTTGTTCAACACTTAATCGTTTGTAGATAGAAATATGTTTTGTGCACATTATTTATCTAAATGTTTGTTTGGATTTTATTGAAAAGCCTTGTAAGGACACAACTGTATATTTTATTATGATGGAAGAATAATAATTCTGGGTATATGTTCTTTTCTAAGTTGGACAAGATTTAAAAAACAATAACAATAAAGTTCTACAATGTGTGTGAAATCTGTGAGACGTGGCTCCATTTTGTATTTCTCCCTCTCACCCCTACAAATTGAAAAGGAGGATTTAAAGGTTGATGTCTCAATACAAGTGGGAGCCCTCTTGTGTCTGACAGCCAGGTGGGGCTTTTCTTTTACTCAGATTTGACTGCGAGGCATAACTGGATCAGTTTACGCGGCAGGAGGAAGAAGAGGAGGCACCAAGCCAGTGAGAGAGTGGTGACCTTCTGTCCCATAGCTGAGGCCTGATAATCTCACATCAAAGTCTGAGCGCCACAGAGACTTGACTGCAAAGGGCCCTCACTCCCTGACTCCGTATACAAGAGACGTCTTCAATCAGGAGACGTACTGCTTTCTTTGAGATGTACGGAGCCCTGGAGTGGCCATTAAGAGAAAGATATATATACTGAGGCCAGATTTTACTACATCAAAAACTCGAAATGCTATCACGTGTGCATGAGTTACTGTTTGTTCCCACATTTTTGATTTGATTTTTGAACAGACCAGCCTTTCTCCTCGTAGCATGGTTGGATTTCAGAAAACGAGATAATTCAAGAGGTTGAGAGTCGTGAGAATACTCTTGCTCTGACTGACAATGACAAAGTTCAGTGCGCCTGCTTCAAGTATTATAATGTGGGGAATGTCTGCAAGATCATATATTAAAAACTGTGATTTACAGCTGTGTGTAACTTTGTATTATGTGTCCTGTCAATATATATACTGTCCTGTTTGTTAAAGGTCCAGTGTGTAGGATTTAGTGACATCTAGTGGTGTAGTTGCAGATTGCAACTTGCCTCACCCTCCCTTTCCAAGCTCAAAGGTGATATTACAGTGGCCATGAAATGTGGGAAAAACACAATCGCCTCTATCTAGAAAACTCAGAGTTTTTGGTTTCTCCCTTTCTGGGCTACTGTAGGAACATGGGTGTTCAACATGGTGGCCTCCAGGGAAGGCGACCCGCATCATCTGTAGATATAAAAGGGTCATTATAAGGTAACAAAACTTAACTGCAGAAATACAACAACTCAAGTAGAGGGTTTGTTTTTCCTGCTTCCATGTTTACGTATTGCCCAACTTTGTCGGATTGGCAACTGATAGCAGGAGCCGTGAGTAAATATTGTATAATAGGTCATCGTAGTGTAGTATCTCTGTTTTCATTTTGTTTTCTATTAGTTGGTATGATATATTTATTTATTTATTTATTGTGGACTAATTAGTTTCCCGCTGAGAAATTAGTCTGTTGTTAATTATTTTGGCTTCAGTTCCCCCTGACAAAAGCAGTAAATAATTTCCCTAAAGCACAAACGGAAATGAAGAGGCCAGATTTTGGAGGTGATTGTGTCCGAGGATGATAAACGACGACGGTGCTCGTGTGCATCCAAATGTTTTTCTCTCTTCAGGAACCCGGCTAAGAAGGAAGTGGTGGCGGCAGCCAAGCCGCATAAGCCCTTAAAGAACTCTGAGAGCAAAGCTACCTCCAAGGAGCACAACGGCAGAAGTGGAAGTGGCAAGAGTTGTTGTTTTTGTCTGTAAAGTGCATGTGCAGGCCAAGCCACAGCATTACACAATAAGCAAATATAATGCCAAAGCATTGTCTGCATGTAGATGTTCAACAGCCTCCTGTCGGCTGAGGAGATCATTTTATTTGTTATATATTGTTTGCGGGCGACCACAGATAATAACCAGTGGAAGACAGATGATTGACTGAAATGCTGATACTAAGTAGAACTAGAAGATCTCTGAGGACGATGTTTGTGCTCCTGCAGGCTGCTACCCGCTCTCTCTCTCTCTCTCTCTCTCTCTCTGGTGTTCAGCTGCGATCCATTAGGCGGTCAAGATCTATGATCCCTGATTTGTTGCAAATATCAGACATATTTCACTCATTGCAGACGCAGTTGTGCCAGATGTGTATTCTGATTATCTGACAGAAGACTGACATAAAACAACCATGTCTGCAGATGTGAACCAGAATCAACTTTATTACTTTAATATTATTAACTATATGGACACATACAAGGAGTTTATTATTGCTGTCAATGTTACAGGATATAAATAAACTTACAGCTGATAACAAGGACAACACTATAAAGCTGTGATCTTTACAAATTATACAAAAAAAAAAAATGAACTAACTGTTTATATAATATTTAAGTTTAGGTTTCATTTGTTTCGTGATTTTTGAGAAAATCACATTTCAGATTGGTACCAAAAGTCAGCATGATTTTATATGTGTGTTTTGTGCATGTGGTGCCAAAAAAGAGGAGGAGTTGTGTGTCAGAAGAGTAATGAAAAGAGGAAGTCATCTATTCAGAGAGATATTTTTACCCACGTTGCTTTTTTAATGTATTTTAATGTTTTTTTGCAGGTTTGGTCGTTTTGTGTTTTTATGTCTTTGTGCCACCGATGGCTGCGACTGGAGGCATTTTATTCTTGTGATCTCAGGAACGAGGCGAGCAAAGTTCTTCAAACTTGACACAAACTTTCTCTCTGACTCAAGGATGAACTGATTAGAATTTGGTGGTCAAAGGTCAAAGGTCACTGTGACATTACAGAGCACTTAAGAACTGATGACAATATTTAATAATTGGTCGGACAATGAATCAGTGACAAAAAGGTCAAACGTCACCTCAAAATGACAAAACATGTTGTGGTCCTTACTCTTAATTGACACAGTACTTATGAAATAATTTTACACAAATGTTTGATGGGAAACAACAATGAGATGATGATATCGAAAAGGTCAAAGGTCAACCTCACTGTGACATTATTATTATTATTCAACACTACAATCATAGGAACAGAAGGGGGAGATTGTGACCTCATTTCACAGTTACACTGGATCGGTGACACTTTTGACTCAAAGGTCAAAAGTCATTGTGACCTTAAAATAGGTTTTTAGCCATAATTTAAGAATGAATTAGGTGATTCCAGTAAACAACAGAGAGAACAATAACCAGCACAGTGCGGGCTTTCATCTTTCCATCTCATTCATTCTGCCTTTCACTTCCTGCCTCATTCTGAAGTTTTGAACATCATCTGAATCACTCGACCGCAAACAGCATCTAATGGAGGCGCCTAACTAATTGTGATCCTGTGAGTGAGTTTCACCCACAGCAAGAGAGACCATTTTGTAAAGCTATACTTCAGGAGAATCCACCTTTACGTGTAGTACATGTGTACCTGTTAGGCCAATACATCTTTGATGATCCTTTATTAATCAGTTCAGAAGTGTATATCCACTGAAATTATATATATGTATCATTAATATATTGATCACTAACATTTAGCCAAAGAATATCCTTTATTTAAGTATTCACCACATATATTAGATGAGTCTAGGCAGACATGAATGTAAACTAACAAACACAACACAAGGTTGTAACTCTAGTTTTGTTTTTGTATTTTTAAGATCATCTAAGTTAGGACACAGCTGTTGTTATCATTTAAAACTAATAATACAATTTACTGTAATATCTACTGAATATTCTAGATTAAAACAACAACACACTTTTAATTTTAATAAACCAATGTTATGTGTGTGAAACCAGTGGGCTTCGTTTTGTAATTCTCCCTGTCTCTACATAATAAAAAGGAGGATTTAAAGGTTGATGTCTCAATACAAGCGGGGAACCCTTGTTGTGTCTGACAGTCAGGTGGGACTTTTCTTCTACTCTACTAGATTTTAACTGCGAGGCAGAACTGGATCGGTTTGAGCGGCAGGAGGAAGAAGAGTAGCCAGTGAGAGAGTGGTGACCTTCTGTCCCATAGCTGAGGCCCTGATAATCTCACATCAAAGTCTGAGCGCCACAGAGACTTGACTGCAACATTACCTCACTCCCCGACTCTGAATGAGAGAAGTCTTCAATCACAAGAAGAACCGCTTTCTTTTCACGTGAAAACATTTGAAATTGAACCAGGGGTAAGATCAGTGTAACAACCTGTGGTGTTAAGAGGTTTAGAAAAGCTTTATCTCAATGCAGAAAATTGACAAAAAACTCTTAAATTCTTCATTTAATTGATTGATTGTGTTACAAAACTTAACATTGGGTTATTAGCTTCTCGTGTCGGCTTCCACGTGTTGCCATCTTTTTTGCACTAATTATACTGACATTCAAATGTTTGCTTTTCACCAGTGATTGAAGAAGGATTCAGATAGTTTACTAGTTAAAGTAGCAACACCTCAATATAAAAATACTCATTAACTTACACTAATTAATAAATAAATGCAAATTATTAAAAAGGGCCTCAAAATTGCACTTAAGTATAAGTACTTGAGTAAATTTACTTTCCAACACTGCTTTTCAGTGGGTTTGTTATGCTATATGCTATATTTTAAGGCTGGTTTGTAACACAGAACCTTTGAGAGTCCGAACATGTGCGAGCTTCCTCATTGAAAAAAGGGCAAATTGTGAACTCAGAAAATTCAACATACTTTTTTGTAAATAAAATAAGATTGTAAGACATATAAAGTTGTATGAGTAAGATTAAAGGCATCAAACTGTTTAATTGATACTGCATTTACCAATGTAAAACCAATAAGCTCTGTTTCAACAGTAAAATACACATAAGGCAAATTGATTAATCTGGGTTCGATTGGATGGATTTTACATATTAGTTATTGCTGTTAATCTGGTAAATGCAATATCAATAACACTAACAAATAAGGTTGAATCTTACTCAAACAACTGACTATCTCCTTCAATCTTCTTTTATTTATTTTATTTCTTCTTTTTATTTCTTTTATTTACAAAAAAGTATATTGAATTTTGTCAGAAGTTTCTCACACTTCCTTTTTTTCAGTGAGTTTGTTTTATTATTGCTTTTGTAAAAGGTTTACAACACAGAACATCTGGCTGGAGATCAATGAGGAAGATCACACACATCTGAGAGTGCATCATGAAAAAGAACTTCTCAAAAAAAACCATT